TTGCCAATAGATAACAGAGAAGAAATAATTTGCAATACAAAAATGTTCAAATACAAACTCAGGATACTGGAATGTCCACGAGGCTGGAGTCTCAAAACCTCTTTGCCTTCTGCAAAAAACATTTGTTTCACAGCTGGCTTTTATCTTCTAGAAGGAGGAGCCACTAGCTTGCAGCCTTACTCCCGAGTCGCCCATGCTATTGTAGTTGCTCTTTCCTGCCAGCAATCTTGTGTGCATGCGCACTTGGCATAGGCTCCTCAGGAACCTCCACATCACTGATGCCAGCCCACACAATCTCTGAAGGCATCAGTCCACTCCCCAATTGTCCTGGCCCCTCATCTGAGTCCTCGCCCTCCTTAGCTGTCCCCACCTGCTTCCAGCTAACCACAACAATGGGTCAGCTCTGGCTCACCTTTCTCTTGGCATCAGCAAGCCAGGCAAGTGGGTGGGGGAGAAGCTGAATTGCGCCCTGTGAGGGGCCCACCTCCAGCACTCCTCTGCCACTCCCCCTTGCCTCTTAGCGCCCCTCTAAGTCATCCCACCACCCCCCAGGGGGTGGTACCGCTAACTTTGAGAACCACTGCACTAGAATAAGTGACTATTTACTTTCAGTTTGATCTGCACACGTGTCTTTTGACTGTTAATATTTTAGAAATATAGCTAGGGAAAGGCAGTTCAGTTTCCATATATAATCACATTCTCTTTGAGATTGTGAGAGTTAGACCTGTCCCTCAAGAACCCAGGTGACAAACCATTGGAAATGCTGTGTGATGGGCTCAAACAACCAGAATGTACAATTGAGAATGTAGAGTAAGTGTGTCAGATCTGCTATCATGCCACTTCATCCCTACTTTGCTTTGTTGCCATCCTGCCATAAAGAAGGGGGTGCGGGGGATATGGGTGGGGCATGACAGGAACCAGAAGTGCCAACCAGATCTGTCTTTGTTTATGCTATCACCATATGCTTTAGTAAAAGTATATCTTTCACTACAAATGTACTTGAGGGTGTTTCTTTCCTAAATGCCAAAGCTGGGAGAAGTGGCCTGACATTAAGCCAGTCTGCAATAATGATCCACCCAGAGACTCGCTTCTACCTTGGGGAGCATGCATGGAACATCCATCCTTAAGAGTGAGCAGGAGGAAATGGAACCCTGGGAAGAAGCCATTTTTAAACCAAGGAGCAACGGAACTAGAGAAAGAAGCAGAGACCCTGGAGGAGCAACAAAGACCTGGTGGTTCATAGGGATTGGAAAGATATAGGAGTGGGAAGAGAGACCCTCCAGGGTAATCTTTGTCCAGGAAAGCCACAGAAGCCATCACAAAACACTGACCACTGAGGAGGATTGTGGGGCAATGGAAGGTCAACCTGACCCACACAAGATCATATTCAAGGCAGGTGATTGACTTCCTAAGGGATGCCTTTGACAACCTCAAAGCCCTAGATAGACAAGAGTGGCCAGCACCATTGCCAGCACCACCACCCAATGTGGCGAATGCACCAGCCCTCATCTCGACAACTCCAGTACAGAATGCAGAATGGCCCCACCAGTCCAGCCACAACCTCCTGCATGGTCTGCCCCTCCATGATCACCAATGCTGGAGGTGAAATTCAACAGCTACCTAAATCAACTGGAGTTTTTCCTCAGCCAAGTGGGGAATTGCATGCAGGAGTATGGAACCGAGTTGCTAAATGACCTAGGCAGGATGCGACATATTACCATTACTCTAGAAGGGCAGGACACCAGATGGTGGCCCTTCACGATGATGTGGCAGAGCTACACAACTTTGACAGGTTCATGACCTATGATTCAAAGTGATTTGAAGACCCCCCTCAGGGCCTTTAGACCCTTGATCAAAAAGCTAGAACCAAAATCAAAACTATCAAGCCGGACAAGCAACCCATTGTCACCTTCATACAAGAGTTCTGGAGTTTATCCTGTAGGCTAACAGACTGGCCCTAAGATTTGATGACTGAGTGCTTTCAAGATGACCTAAACAACAAGGCCTTCTGTATCTTTACCTGCATGTCCAGAGGTGTGCCACACATCCTCTAGGGATAGTACACCCTAGCTGGTGAAGTGGAGATTGACCTGATCAAATCCCATTGGTGCACCATCCGAGAGCAGCGATGGTCCTTCACAACAGAACCCCCCATTTGCAGAGTCACCACTGCTTTCACCGCAGCAAGGAAGGTCATTGAGCTGCAGACTGCCACGCACTCCAGGCAGCTTCCAAACCCACACAATGATGGGGTAAAGGTCCAGTGAGACCATGAGAAATGGCATACAAAGGAGTGGAGGTTGTTGAGTTTACCCCATCACTGGGCAATGGGGATGGAACCCCAACCCGAAGATGAGAGTGACAGCAGAACAGCTGAAAACCCATTGTTAAATCGCCCCATGATACCAGTGACAATACCAGTACAATTAGAGGTGCTTTCGTCATGGAGCAGGGATCCCGTAATTGCCAAGTATGGCTTGGGCTACAGTAAGTGACTCTTTTTTCAATTCAGTTTGATCTTCACAACCCCTTTTTGTGATGGTTAATATTCTATAAATATATCCAGGAGAGGCAGTTCAGTTGCCTTACATAATCACATTCCTTCAATTGCTATAAGAATACCTTCCTGTTAGTTTTTCACAAAATTATTGTAATTTTTGTTGCTATTCTCCACAGGCTTTCTGGAGAGATACTGACCGAATCCTCCAGCAGGCATCTTGCAGAAGTCCTCAGGAAAAACCAGAGATTGAATGTATTATTCTTGTCCCTCAAGAACCCAGATGACAAAGCAATGGAAGTGCTATGTGAGGGTCTGAAACATCCAGAATGTGCAATAGAAACGCTTGAGTAAGTGACTCTTTTTTCATTCAGTTTGATCTTCACAGCCCCTTTTTGTGATGGTTAATATTCTATAAATATATCCAGGAGATGCAGTTCAGTTGCCCTATATAATCACATTCCTTTCAATTGCTATAAGAATACATTCCTGTTAGTTTTTCACAAAATAATTGTAATTTTTGTTGCTATTCTCCACAGGCTTTCTGGAGAGATACTGACCGAATCCTCCAGCAGGCATCTTGCAGAAGTCCTCAGGAAAAACCAGAGATTGAATATATTAGGCTTGGCCCTCGAGAATCCAGATGACAAAGCAATGGAAGTGCTATGTGAGGGTCTGAATCATCCAGAATGTGCAATAAAAACGCTTCAGTAAGTGACTCTTTTTCATTCAGTTTGATCTTCACAACCCCCTTTTTGTGATGGTTAATATTCTATAAATATATCCAGGAGATGCAGTTCAGTTGCCCTACATAACCACATTCCTTTCAATTGCTATGAGAATACATTCCTGTTAGTTTTTCACAAAATAATTGTAATTTTTCTTGCTATTCTCCACAGGCTTTCTGGAGAGATACTGACTGAATCCTCCAGCAGGCATTTTGCAGAAGTCCTCAGGAAAAACCAGAGATTGAATAGATTAGTCTTGTTCCTCGAGAATCCAGATGACAAAGCAATGGAAGTGCTATGTGAGGGTCTGAATCATCCACAATGTGCAATAAAAACCCTTCAGTAAGTGACTCTTTTTTCATTCAATTTGATCTTCACAATCCCTTTTTGTGATGGTTAATATTCTATAAATATATCCAGGAGATGCAGTTCAGTTGCCCTACATAATCACATTCCTTTCAATTGCTATAAGAATACATTCCTGTTAGTTTTTCACAAAATAATTGTAATTTTTGTTGCTATTCTCCACAGGCTTTCTGGAGAGATACTGACTGAATCCTCCAGCAGGCATCTTGCAAAAGTCCTCAGGAAAAACCAGAGATTGAATAAATTAGACTTGTCCCTCGAGAATCCAGATGACAAAGCAATGGATGTGCTATGTGAGGGTTTGAATCATCCAGAATGTGCAATAAAAACCCTTCAGTAAGTGACTCTTTTTCATTCAGTGTGATCTTCACAACCCCTTTTTGTGATGGTGAATATTCTATAAATATATCCAGGAGATGCAGTTCAGTTGCCCTACATAATCATATTCCTTTCAATTGCTATAAGAATACATTCCTGTTAGTTTTTCACAAAATAATGGAACTATTATGTGATGCGCTGAATAATCCAGAATGCACAGTTTAGAAACTAAAGTAGGTAAGGCATTTTCCTTTGCAAAATCCTTTATGATGGTTAATATTTTGAAAATATATCCAGAGTGAGGCAGTTTAGTTTCCATAGTTTAACACATTACTTTCAGTTTCTTTATAAATGTAATACATGGTTGTTTCCCAGAATTAGACCACCATCGCGATGCTGCCGCCGCCCTCATCCTAGCAAGCTTTCCCCACACCCCACTTGCCTAGCTTGCTTAGCCAACAGAGCCGAGGCTCCATGCAGCACTCATGGCCTAGCAAGATTCCTCCCCACCCCACCTGCCTGGCTTGCTGGTAGCCGTGAGAAAGGCTGGTCACTGCTTGGGTCCCACCTGGAATTCTCTGCTGAGCAGAGCAGTGCAGCAGTCAATGGGGTGAGCCTGCGGGGCCAGCGCCTCGAATGCAGCGATGGCGGCACATTGGGAAAGTAGAGCAAAGCTACTTTTCAAATGGGCCACCTCTGCCGCTTTTGAGGCGCCGGCCCTGCAGGCTCACCCCATTGAGCCCACTGCACCGGAGGGACCTGCCCAAGCAAGTCCGAGCAGAGCAGTACACCAAGTCAATGGGAGAGAGAGAGAGAGACCTGATGCATCAGATTGAAATGAGGCCTAGTTTACAGGCCCTTTTCCACATTGAAACATCTTTGCCAGCATCTTGCCAGCACATTGAAACATCTTTGGCTTCTATTAAAGGTTTTGTGGATGAAACATGGTCAAACCTATCAGGAAGCTCTCACATTTTGTTGAGGCTTTAAACAAGATCCATTGGACTAGACCTCCATCCTAAAAAAATAGTTTTCCCCAGTGCATTATAGTGCCAACTCAGAAGTAGGCAAAACAAAAATGTATTGGTAAATTACAAAGAGAACACACACACACACACACTCCCTTCTATCCCTGCCGGAGCAGGTGATTGGACTAGAATAGATATCTCATTATTTTTCTTCTCCCTCCCTCCCTCCTTCTTTATTTCTTTTTTTTCTGTCCCTTCCTTCCATTCTCCCCTCTTTCTTTGTCTATCCTGTTTTCTCTCTGTCCCTTTTCTCTTTCTTTTCATCCTTCTCTCTCTCTTTCTCTCTTTCTTTTCTCTCTCCCTCTCAGGCTCACCCCATTGACTTGGTGCACCGCTCCGCTTGGACTTTTTTGGGCAGGTCTCTCCAGTGCAGCGGGCTCAATGGGGTGGACCTGCGGGGCCGGGACCTAGAACACAGCAGTGGCAACGCGTTTGAAAGGTAGAGCAAAGCCAGAGGTCGGTAATTTTTGCTGCAAAGAATCACAAAAGCCTCTGGGCTATGCATAAGAAGACACACATATCAATGCAATTCAGCAACATAAAATAAAGAAATACAAATAAAACAAATCAACAAGAATCGGCAAAGCATCTCTGATTAGATTCTATTCACTACTAGAATGTAATCAGAGATGCTTTGCCAATTCTAGTCCAATGACCTGCTCCAACAGGGTTAGAAGTGGGTGTATGTCTGTGTGTGTGTGTAGATGCATGGCTGTCAAAACTCCAAAAACAGGTCAAGT